TTTTTAAAAAACTTCTATAGTAAAGTTTTAGACAAACACCCAAAAAACTCACTTACCAAACAGGGCGGTTCAACGGTGTAAAGACATGGTAACAATTTATAACCACAAAGAACTTGTACAATTCTATAATAGTGAACGCATGGATTATGTCAGAGTTAAGAGGCAGTATTTGAACTCTAATTTTAAATTTTTTGCTTGTTGGAAAACCCCAGATTGTAAAAATATTAGGGACAATTGTCAACTACAAATTTGCATAATCTAGGCCACAAAATACAGATGTTTAATCCAATGTTGAAAAAATAAATCTGGACTGTCCTATTGAATCGATTGAACTATTGACTAGGTTATATTTTGAGTTGGTTATAACTAAAAGGAAAATATGCTAAATTAGTCCCTTACATTTTGAGAAAAAACTTTTTTGTCTCTTACATTTAAAATCAACTACAATAGTTCCTTAGATATAAAAATGTCCGCCTGATTGGTTCCAAAGCTCATTTTTGCTCACTTCTCTGATCAAAAAGTGCACACCTCTCTCACACGAACATAATTTTAAGGACAAAAATGAAAATATACTTCGTTTCCTCTTTTTTTTTTGAAAAAAACAAAAGAAGAAGAAGAAAATGTAAGCTACCAAACCCTTTCTTCTCCTCTTTCCCCCATTTTTTCAACTACCAAAACCCTAATTGTAAGCCATCAAGCCCCTAATCAAAGAAGAAAATTTTATTATGGTCACCTACAAATAGTAGAAGAAGAGTAAGAAAAGATATCTAAACCATTTAAAAGTACAATAGAAGTAAACAATGATTGACATCATTGTAGCAAAGAGCCCATAATTATGACTTCTTGAAGACTTGCAAATTCGGGAGGGAGATTCTATGGCTACCCAATCTATGAAGTAAGTCTGAGCACATTTCATTTTGGTTGTCTTGGAAAAAATTGGTTCTTAATATGGAGGTGAAAATTGGGTGTTAATATGTGATGCTCTTGCATTTTAGGTGAATTATGCTCGTCGCTATTTCAAGTAGTATGATCCCCCAATGTGCAGTAGATCGGTATCAATAATACTTGGCTTGTTAAAGACTATCAATTGGCTGGAAATTGAGCAAGAAAGAAGAATTTGAAAAGAAAAATTACATTGGACTGCTTTGCTTATTTCTTGAAAGTGCATTTTGCTGATTATGTTGAATAAGAGTTCAATTGTAGTCTAAAGAGGAAACGGAGCATATAATGTAAAAGCGATATGATCTTTTTAACTTAGTCACAAACGTTGTTGTCGGCATGATATTGAAGAATGAAAAAGTTAAAATCTCCCTTGTTTAATTGAGATTTATATTTAAGGTTTTGGTAGCTTATGTGTTTCTTAAAATCTCCGGTGTCAGTGTATTTCATTTTTGCCCTTGAAATTATGGGTATGGGAGAGAGGCATGCACTATTTGTCCAGAAAAAATGAGCGAAAATGAGTTTTGGGACCAATTAGGTGGATTTTTTTTTTTGTATCTAAGGGACTATTGTGATTGATTTTAAATCTGAGAGACTAAAATTTTTCTTTTTTTTTGAAAATATAAGTAACCAATTTGACAAATTTTCCTAACTAAAATATAGAAGAGTCAAAGAAGTGTTGTAAATTTTAAAAGGGAAAATTGCAGAAACCTCCATTGAGGTTTCTGACACTTGCACTCACATCCCCTGTGGTTTAAAAAATTGCACTCACCTCTCCTGAACTTACTGATTCTTTGCATATTTAGTCCAGGCGATTAAAATATTGTTTTAGGAAGTGAAATGAGAAATTTGTGCCAGATTTGCCCTTTGTGCTACATGCCAAGTAGTATTAGCAAAGGAATGACAAAGTACTACAAATCAATTAACAGTTAATAAACTTTAAGGGGTATAGTTTATGAACAAATAGGCATTACCTATTCAAAGTACCAGCTCTTTATAGGCATTTTACTTTCAAACATTTAATTTATGATAAATACATCAATGTTTGTAAGTAAAATTCAAAAAGTGTTGCAGTAATATACTTACAAAAAGGAAATCAATAGGTTATATATTTAATATAAATTAAATATTTTAAAAAAAAAAAGAAATGGCCCATAAAATATTAATTCTTTATAGCTTTCGTCCATTACGTGAACAAAGTATTGGCTCTTTATAGGTATTTTATTTTGAATCATTTAACTTATGTTAAATACATAAATATTTGTAACTAAAATTGAAAAAGTGTTACACTAATATTTTTATGAAAGGGAAACTAGTAGGTTTTGTATTTAAAAAAAAATTAAATATGTGACAGTAAATACAAATTTAAATAGAGGTTTCAGATTTTGAGGCCATATCACGTGAATAGAGGTAAAATACAAACCTTTTTTTAAAATTTAAATTGCCTGATAGAGATTTTGAGGCCATATCACATGAATAAAGGTAAAATACAAATCTTTTTTTAAAATTTAAATTGCCTGATAAAGGTATCACATTTAAATTTGTATTTACTTTCACATATTTAATTTTGGTTAAATACAAAACTTACCAGTTTCCTTTTTGTAAAAAATATTAGTGTAACACTTTTTCAATTTTAGTTACAAACATTTATGTATTTAACATAAATTAAATGATTCAGAATAAAATGCCCATAAAAAGCACATACTTTATTCATGTAATGGAGGAAAGTCATAAAGAATTAATACTTTATGGGCTATTTCTTTTTTTAAAAATATTTAATTTATATTAAATATATGACCTATTGGTTTCATTTTTGTAAGAATATTATTGTAACACTTTTTGAATTTTACTTACAAACATTGATGTATTTATCATAAATTAAATGTTTGAAATTAAAATATCCATAAAAAATTGGTACTTTGAATAGGTAATACCTATTTACCCATAAACTATACCCCTTAAAATTTATTAATTGTTAATTAATTTGTAGTACTTTGTTATTCCTTTGCTAATACTACTTGGCATGTAGCACAAAAGGCAAATCTGGCACAAATTTCTCATTTCACTCCCTAAAACAATATTTTAATCGCTTGGACTGAATATGCAAAGAATCAGTAAGTTCAGGGAAGGTGAGTGCAATTTTTTAAACTACAGGGGATGTGAGTGCAAGTGTCAAAAATCTCAGAGAAGGTTTCTGCAATTTTCCCATTTTAAAAACTAGCAAAATCGTCCGATTCGAGCAAGGAACCATTGAACCAGATGTTTAAACCGTCTCGATTCTTACGCTTATTTGAAAAAATATTGAGTTTGTTTGGATAAGAGTTTATTTGGATGATTTATTTGAGATATTTATTGTAGTACTTTTTGTGATGTGATGTATGTGAGATAAAAAGGTGATTAAGAAGATAAAAAAGTAATTGGGATTTGTGAGGCAAAATTTTTTTTCCCCAATTCTCTTTTTTGTCCAAACAAACTCATTGCCCCACCTTGACATCGTCTGAAAAGCGACACCATTGACGCTTACCAGCCTTTTTAATGCAATGCCTACTATGCCTACTAGCTATTAAATCTTCTCTTCTTTAGCTGCCCAATATTTGTGTAATAGTTTAGTTTTGTGTCGTCTGATCTTTTCAAAATCGTAGTTTAACTTTAATTCTAAATTGTTTAAAAATTTCAAAATTTCTTACTAAATTTCATACCTTCTATCAACTAGACTATTTTAAAAATTAAACTATCCACATTGCAGCTTACTTTTATGCAATTTTTCATTTCTTATTCATAAATTCATGAGTAATTTTATTTTTGTATAATTAAATTTTCATGATTTATCAAAGTTAGTTTTTTTTTGTTTTCTTTGTTTAGTGCGTATGTTTGTTACTATCTAGTTTTCTCCTAAGCTCTTGAATGTGTTGTGATTGCAAAAATATATTTATTTAGTTGATATTGTATTACTATTTCAACTTTTAAGTTATTATCATCAATAATGAACAAAATACTCTAATCTCACCCATTGATTAACTAAGTATGGATTTACAAGATTCATTTGATTAGTCAATATGATAATACAAATAACATATTAATTATTATGACATCACGGTCAATAGCACTTCAAAAATGACTAGCCAAACGATTGAACCAATAATCCTTGACTTAATACAATTTTCGATTTAATGAATGATTTGGGTTTTAAAACCTTAGTTTAATTCTATATTAACACTTCACACATGTTAACAAGTGATATGTTGTTTTTTTTAAAAAAATAACTAATATACACTCACACAGAATTAATATTACATGGTCCTGGTGGAAACAGCCAAGTCGTGTGCTCTATCTACAAATATTCTATCAACTTTAACAATAGAAAGCTTATAAAGGAAAGAAGATAACATGATGATGTCCTTCAAAATAGAGACAACTGCCAAAGGAGCGGCTGGAATATTAACGCAGTACAACAAAAGTAGAAGACAACCTATAGCAACAGAGAAAACTGAAGATGCATAATTGGGCTATGCAAAGGGTCATAGCCAGCTAAGTGCACTCAGACATGCTTGAGCCTCTATCTGAAATGATGATAAAGCACAATTTTTTTCCGTCACGACGATAATATTCCTATAACTTAAATTATCTTATTCTACAAGGAGGAAGAGATTAAAGAAATTGTGTAAAAAGTTAACAGGTATACAGACTTGACTAGATAAAAGGGATACTTTGACGCCTCCTTTAGATTTTTTTCAAAGCAAGTGGAGTTTGAATCCCGACCTGCAGTTCAAAGAGAGATTTTGTTCCTTTAAATCCCTTTTTGCTGTCCACTGAACCAAAGTTGAGCGGTTTATAAAGTACAAATTGACTGAGTATGTGAATGCAACACACAGCCTTATTATTACAGTAATTAACATGTATATAAAAGGGGGAATGCACTTTGTTAAAGGAGTGGTCGTCTGATGATATGGCACCATGCCATTGGTGGAAATGTGTTCGTCACTCATGTGAAACCCACGTGACTTCTTTTTTTTTAAATTATTCCTCTACTTTGTGTATGACATAGTGGGTTACACTAAAATACTCCTCCTTTTTTGTTGCAGTGAACGCTGCTTCTTCTGCTTTCCTTTGAGGGGAGTTACGGATTTTTTTGTGCTCGGGGCAACCATCCCTCAAGTTTCCTTTGGAACCCTTTTTTCCATTCTCTCCCATACCGTCTCAAAAATTATCCCAAACTACTTCCTCCTCCATGTCTCTTCAATAAACCTTCAATTATTCTTTCCTTTTTGTGAAAGATAAATGGATCTTCGACATCTTCCACTTCATCCAAGCAATTTCATTTTTTGGTGATTGCTTTCTGGTTCTAGATGATTTAAACTTTACAACATGAATTTCATTCAATTTTGATTAATTAGCTAAAGTAGGTCATTTGCATTCATAATAGGTACTATTTTTGCTTGGGTAGAATATCTCCCCTTAAGCATCAGCCTTTTCTCATTGTCTTGTTGAATGATAGGTGAAAAAAAATTATTGAAAGCTGCAACCGTGAAGAAAGGTTACTTAGGAAATGTTGAATAACTGCTCAATTGCTTAGCACTTCATCTATAGTACTAACTAAAAAAAATCCACATTTAATGAAGCAGCTTGTCATGGCAGCGGCATGGCATTGATGTAAAGCAGGATCCTCCTATTGATGGTAAATGATCTTTACATATTTCGTTAGTAGAAACTCCACTGCAACAGTTGTCATTTTGATTTGTATTTGCCAAAACAAGGAAATTGATGACTTGAATTAGTACAATTAGTTGATTCTTTGTTCACTTTGAATTAATATAGACAGTAGAACCAATGATTTGGATGGAAACTGAGAAATTGCACAACTCATTAATATCCTCCATATGGTCAATATGTTTATTTCTGCTGAGGCTTTACATGATGACTAATTGGATGTGGAAAAGTTTTCTTTAACAATTAAGGTTGATTGTTTTGTCTCTTGAATATCAAGTTTATGAGGTGAGATTGACTTTGACTATTATTTTTTTCCTCTTGAAAAATTGAGAAAAATGGTTGTTCTGGATCTTTGAGTTTTAAATACAAGTTTTAGGAAACGATTAGCATTAACAGAATAGAAAATACTTGTTATATCTAATATGGTTCGGACCATGCTGAGTTAATAGGCATAATATTATGAGTGTCTGATTGGGTTCCTTAAAATGTATTGGACCATGCTGATTGGATTTCATGGATTTCATTCTCTAACTTTCTTCAAAATTCTATCAACTTTATAATTCTCTATACTTCATAAATTTCTTATGTGAGTCTCTTCTTGTTTCTCTTGAAGTCTCATTATGGCATTTGCTTATGTAGTTGTGTTTTTTACTTGTAGTTGTATTGTTCAATATTGGCTATTTGTTTTAGAATGAAAATTCAAACTACTTGGCGACTTTGTGGTCTACGTTGCATCAATTTTTTTTTTAACTGAAAAGAATGTTGTTATATATTTTCTTTTTACTAATAAAGAAAATAATAAGATACCGAGATTTTCTGAATTTGAGGAATTCTGGCTAAAATGTTTTGCAATGTGGTTTGAGGCTATAAATATTGGCCAACATGCAGTGTAAAAGAAAATTATGTGATATCCTATTTTTGTTTTTGAGTTGCTTACGAGGTTTATAGTTTTCTATAGACAGATCTTTTCTCTTTTTTTTCCAATGTTTTCTTCCCTTCTATTTCATTCTTTCTTCTGTTGCTATCTTTCTTCCTCCTGTGAATATCAATCATATTTTCTCTCCTTACCATGAAAAGTTTCTTCTGTATTTTGTTTTAGTGAATTGTTCTAATTTTTTCTTTTCCTTGGGCTAAAAGCATCAAAGTTAAGTTGAAAATTTTTAGAAGCTTTCATTTATCCTGCTTTCTTGAGAAATTTTTTTTGATTCTTTTGCTTTCCTATATGGAAGACATGCCAAGTTGGATTTTGGAACACACGTTTGCACTTGAATTTTATCAACTTTTAGTTATGCATAATGTCGAAACTGAAAGTAAATTTTGTTTGGAAACCATTGACCAATTTTTTGCATGTGGCAAACGTCCATTTTCATTTAGCAGTTTAAGCTTGCATCTTTTGAAACAACTAAGTGATTGTTGCACGGTGGTCATGGGGTTGTTCCAAATGATAGGTGTGAGATTCACTTTACATGAAGTGAATGACATGTTGCTAGTCATCTGTGCTCTCACCATTGGAGGGTATATATAAATCCACTTGATTGATCTTTTTCTTACATGGCCAACATGTTCCTTCCTTTTCTTAGTTGTTCTAGCTAAAGTAGTAGCACCAGTTTTAGTAAAAAAGTTTAGGTATTAGAACTCACTGGCTCACAATCTTCCTATTCAGATCCGAGAGTTAAAGCAAAGAAGCTGGGACTACTAGCTGAGCCATATATTTGGAGGGAATGCAATCAATGTGCAAATTGGTTGGTCAAATGCAGCATATGATCCATCAGGACTATAAGTTCCCCGATGATATTCCAGCAAAGATGCAAGATTTGTTAGGAGCAAATGTGTTAGGAGTTGCATATCTTCATTTTGTTTCTACTTAAGAGGTTATGACCTCTTCCAATGTACCAAAAAAGAAAGAAAAAATAAAGAGGTTCCATTACAGAATATATATCCTTGGTGCTTCTTGCAGGAATTTTTTTTCCCTTTTGATTGGTCATATCCCATAATGTTGTAAGACTTCTCTAGCAGCAAAAGTGTATAGGAATTCTAAGGTTGCTTTCCTCAAAACTCAATGACAGGAATTTGTTAAGAATGTGTTTGGAATTATATTAAGTAATGCAAATTAGTTAATGTAGCTGCTTTTTAAGTATGAGATTTCATTTATAAATATAGAGGACACCACAACATAACTTGTATGGTGGGTCAATGGTCAGTTGTATATGTCCTAATCATATCTTTATTATGTCCTATTATATTTTTTAAAGGTATGGTATTATAATTATCATCTCTTGGACTTTATATTTTTACAATTTTGAACTAATTATATACTTCCTAAGAACACAATTCTAAATATTTTGTTTATCATTCACATATGCTACTGTTATAATAATTTACAAATTAAGTAGGTATAATTGGACATTTATCCACCGTGCGTTTGCATGGTGAATCCCTCCTAGTATGTCCTAAACGATCCAAGCAATGCTAGCTTTAGTAGAAATAGATTTAGGATCAAAGGATGAGAGTCATCAGGAATGCTATTACCTACTTGGAAAAGGAGATATATGTTTTTATTACTTCCAACAAAGCATGGCGCCTGGAGATATTTACTCCAAACGTCTTTCAGTCTTCACTTAGGAATACGGCTGTAAACGAATTTCGGATTCGAGTGACTTGAATCTGAGCTCGACTCGATCTCGATCAACATCGAGTTCGAACTTATCAAGTCAAACTCGAGTTCAAAAATACTAAACTCGTTAGCTCGCGGGTGGACTAGAACTCAATTATATATATATATATATACATATTATTTTATTAGCAAAATTACATATATAAATTTCTAATATTTTATTATTTGTTAAGAAAAATTATTATTTTATTTATTTTTTAAAAATAAAATAATTTTTTTTTATTTTTTTAAACTCAAGCTCGACTCGAATTTGAGTCGAGCTTGAGCTCGAACTTTACATTTTGAATTGATAATTCGAGTTGAGCTTGAGTTCAAACTTTACATTTTGAATTCGTTGAATTCGAACTTTATGAACCTAGGTTGATGCTTGGCTCGATTAGGTTAAAATTTGATTCGACTTAACTCGTTTGCATCCTATCCAGGAACTATAAGAAAAGGTCATATGATATGACGAATGTAAAATTGCATTACCATCCCATTGAAATGATGAATTTATGATGATCCCATTGTTATGGATTTATAGGATTCATTTTATTAGTCAACACGATAATACAAATAACATATTAATTATTGATGACATCACCGGTCAATAACACTTCAAAACGATTAGCCAAACGATTGAACCAATAATCTTTGACCCAATAAGATTTTTGATTTAATGAACAGATTGGGTTTTAAAACCTTAGTTTAATTCTACATTAACACTTCACATATGTAAACAAGTGATATGTTGTTAATGTGTGATGATCAATAGACATGCTTGCCAACAATGCCTACCACTTGGTAAGGGGCCACTCACTCGTTAAGACCACATTGCCATTTCTTTCAAAGAGTATCACTCTCTTACTTGTCTATGAATACCTTACGATGAAAATCAAACTACTAACTAATAACCATCCATTAGCATATATAACACTCTTTTCTTATCTACCTACTTTATTTTTGTAGACTTGAGCATCGAAATGACCCAGGATATACTACTCCATTTTGCAGTCTCCTAGCTTTTTGTCTTGTTGTTCTATTTGAGAAGGGTCTGTTCCAATCAACCCTTGTCATTAGGAATGGAGGGAAAAGAATTTGGAAAGAAACTGAAACTCAAACACGCTAAAGTTTCAACATTTCGGAGCATAGTACTAGAGGTGGCAATTTGTCCCAAGTCCCAATGGGTTATCCATGCCTATTGAGACTTTGGGCGGGATGGGTATTGGAATTTGATATTGGATTTAAAATGGGACAAATCCCAATTGTACCCATTAATTGATGGGTAATTTTGGAAAATGCTTGGGTACCCATTGGGCTCAAATAGCAAGGGCTCCGTTTGGATTAACTATTTTTGGGGGATGTTTTTGAAATATTTTATTGTAGTAGTGTATATGAAAAATTTTTACTATAAATTTTTTTGAAATATTTGATATACTAATATGGATGGGATGTTTTTTGAGTTATTGTATATTATTGTAACATTGTATTTGAAAAACTTATTTTTTGAAAAAATAGTCAATCCAAACGGAGTCTTAGATTCAAAAATTATCTTTAACAATTTTTATAGTCATGATTGTATATCTATCTTTTCCTTTATTTGTTAATCCAATTTTTGGTGATAATCCTGAGTATAAAGCACTTGCATGTTTATTTAATAAAACTAAAAGAAATTTAATAAATCAAAAATATTAAAATTATATAAAAAATAAAAAATAAATTAAAGAAAAAAATATGTAAAAAATAGATTTGGGTATTGGGCGGGATCAATCTAAACCCATCCCAAAGTGATCCCGCCCAAGTTAGTCCCAAAACATATATGGGTAAGGTTGGGCCCAAACCCATATAACTCGGTTCCATCTTAAACCCAAGCAAATTCCGTCCATCCCGCCCATTTTGCCACCTCTACATAGTACCAAGTTAAAAAATAGCAAAAAAAATCTGTATTATTTAGTGCAGTTGTTTTTGGATTTGAATTGCCACGTGATTCACTATAAAAGAAAACAGTTGAATGGATAGTTTTCCAAAATAGAGAAGAGATTCCTTTAGAATTCGAAGTAACAAAGATATATGTTGAAAAAGTACGTTAACACTTTTTGTGATATGATGAATGTGAGATAAAACGGTGATTAGAAAGATAAAAAAATGGTTGAAAATGTGTTTATGATAGAATCAAAAAAATTTGTAAACAAAGCTTTATCCAAACACACTCATTATCATCAGTAAATAATTTAACCTTTAGGTGATATACTTCTTTGGCAGTTACAAATCTGGAATCATGAAAGGATATAAAATCCTACCAAAAAAAAAGGAAAGAAAGGATAATATGTTTATATCTAACTTTATGGCCTTAAACTTATGTGAAGACAAGATTTTGTGCAACTTTGTGAGGATTTTAGCAATATGCCGAAGAAGACAAATTTAGAAGCTTTCCTCCATTACTGAGGCTAAAATTTTCAAGGAAAACCAATGACTAAAGCTTTGTCAAAAATTTCAAGTTTGTTCTATGAAGTTCTTAAATTTCACATTCCATACACATGCTAGTTATTTAGGAAAGAATTAGAGTTCTTATTAGGGATTCCCATGCATTCCACCAACAATTCCATTCGGATAGCAAATTGTGAACATAGTTTTTTCAAATAATTTCTAAAAATAATTAAAAAAAACATTTTCATTCTTTCAATCACCTTTTAACGGATCCTCTTTAGTGTGTATAGTAGTTTTTACCATGAAAATGGTATTACATTGACTAAACCAGTACGAAATGTATTGATTGGTTGCATCAATTTGATACACATTAAGGTTGCTGAAGGAGCCCATTAGAGGGGTTGGGAATTCAAGGTCAGTTAGTGCAATAAACTTGTATAAGAAGACCCACATCGTGCATGATTAGCTGAGCGGGACTGATTAGCATAAAATAAACAAGGTATACAAGGAATAATAAAGAAAGCTTGCCTGTTAAGAGGAGGGGGCGTGAAAATAAATATAGTAAAAATTACTAGATTCATCAATTTGAATAATGTATTTTCATTCATTATTCTGAAATATTATCATTTTCTTCACTGTCAATAATGTTTCAAATTTTCAACTTGATAAAAATTAGCTAATTGTTTAATCTATATTGAACTGGTTCTACTCTTTTATCATGACATATTGATTTCTCTTATTTTAGGAAAAAAAATGAATGAATTAGTATATTTTCTTTCTACAATGTTGCTAAATGCAAAACATAAAGAATTCTTATGTAGCTATGTACATATGCAACTCTAAATCTTAACGAATTATTCTTTGATTCAAACAAGAAATTTGGAATTCCATATGTACCATGCATTTGTCAAGCTAAGGAATTCCAATTAGATTGGAGGTTACAATTTAATATATTTTTTGAATTAGCCAATTTCACTATTTATTCACTTTTTCATCAGAATACAATAGCGCTAGTAAGGAAATATGTTCATGTTAAAATGAAAATAGTATTTTTTTAATCCTCCTATCATTTCCCGCATCCTTTCAACCCCCAATTGCAAAGTATAAGAATCGAATTCTAAATCTGACGATGGAATAGATTTTAACAGCCTTTCCCTTGAAATGGTATAATTTGAAAATGAAAATGGTATAATATTCATTAGAGACATATATACATGGAGGTCCAAACAACCAATTACATGCATCTCTGATGCCTTATCTTGTTTGTTTTAGATTTTGTAAAATTTGATTATTTAAATTACTTATAACATGATGAGACCTGTATACCAACTTGCTAATAAGTAATTGAACAAATTGTGCGAAATATCACTAAACTATTGCAATGTGTCGCTTTTGGTCATTAAACTTTTTTATTAGCCAAAAATGTCACTGAACTAATAAATTTGTACCGTTTAAGTCACTCCATCTATTTATGCCGTTAAGTGAGATGGAAAGTAACTTTTTGAGGGGTAATTTGGTCTAAAATGAAACTAACTTGCATACAATACTTTCAAATGAGATACAAAATTGCTTAATCCACATATTTTGAAATTGCAATACAATGACAAGGTTAGGGGTGTTTGTGAGGATTTATTTTAGGATAATTTTTTAAAATAAAATAAACACCACCGCCACCGCCACCGCCCCTTCCCCCTCTCTTCTCCCTCCATTTCTTTCTCTGCTTTCTTCCTAATCAACGCCTCCCAATTATTGATCAAACGGCCAAAAATTATCAACGGCTCGTCACGAAGGAATACAAGAAAAGCCAAGATGGCATTATTACTATACACACAAGTAGCGAGATTAGGTGCCAAAGCTAGCCAAGGAAGAGAATCAAGAGCTCTATAATGGCTTAGTTCGTCCTAAGCCATGTTCATTTTGATTTGGGCCAATGCTTTATGGAAATTCATGGGAAGTCAAATTGAGTGGAAGTTGAACATCTCCAACCATGGGCGTCAAGTGCCGAGGCCTTCCTTGATTTGCTCTTTAGCACGTGTGATGTACTCGAAACTAGTGCCTCTGCAACCGAATGGCATTGGGATTGTTCCATATATTGTCGTTCTCCGGCGAGTTTGGATTGGAGGTTGCAATTGGAGCTCTGGTTAAGATCAAAAATGGGAGGGAAGGGGGGATTCCAGTAGGAGAGGAGAAAAGAGATGAGAAGGGGAAGGGAAGAGGGAGGAAGAGAGAGAAGGGGAGGGAAGGAAGAGGGAGGAGGAGGAAGAAGAAAGAAAAAGGGAGAGGGAGTAGAGTGGAAGAGGGGGTGATTGCGGTGGGTGGTAACGTTGGTAGGTGGTGGGTGGTTGTGGGTGAAAGAAGAATGAGGGTATAAAATTTTCAATTGCGGTACAAACGAAATTATTCCTCAAAAAGTTAAATTCCATCCCTCCTAATGGCAAAAATAGACGAGTGACCTAAATGGTACAAATTTACTAGTTTACTGATATTTTTGGCTAATAAAAAAGTTTAGTGAACAAAAGTGACACATTACAATTTTTTAGTGACATTTTGTGCAATTTGCTCTAAGTGATAAATACAAAATAACTAGAATACTAAATCCAATATTTGACATTCAAGTTCCCAAAAATTTTACAACACGTGCTTTTCTCTTATTCCTAATCATTTATGGGTTATAGGTAAAGTGCATTGTAGTCTACTAACTTTCCCAAATTCTCATCGAAACCATTAAATTGTTTTTTGTGTCAATCAACCCGCTAAACTATTGAACAGATTTAATTAGCCAATCTATCATATTGTCTGGTTAAGTTAGATGGAATTATATTCACATGAGAGTTATGTACACTTTCCCAAGGCAAAAATGATATTTCTTCCCACTCACCCTTACAATTGATAAAAAAAAAAAAAAAATCTAGGCTGGATTTAGAGAGAAAGAAATGAGTTAGGCTAATGGGACTGAGGAATTGTGAACGATTACAGGAATGTGTGAGAAAAAATATATCATTTTTGCCCCTAGAAAGTGCACATGTCTCTCACGTGAATACAATGTCATCTAACCTAATAGGCAATTTGACAGAGCAGGTTGATTGAAACTTTTTCAAAAGCTTAGTGGACTAATTGACACAAAAAAGAGTTCAATGGTTTTTGTAAGAATTTGGAAAAGTTTGATGGGCTAATTGACATAAAAAAAAGTTTAATGATTTTAGTGAGAATCCAGAAAAGTTTGATGGGCTACACTGCTACAGTGCTCTTCACCCATCATTTATATATCGGTCAGCCCCTCTCCCTATCATCCGAACTTTTCTTTATTTTCCCTAATCTTGCATTAGACCATTAGTGCTCCTATGCGTGTTCTCTCAGCAACAAGTTCAGTGTGTCTCTTTTTCCTTAGTCGTACACTATACCATATAACGATTTCCATCTTTTCAATATTCTTTGTGTTTGGATAGGAAATTATTTGGAATAATTTTTTGAAAAAAAAATAGCTTTTTTAGATGTAATATATGTGAGATAAAAAAAAGTAATTGAAAAACATATTGATAATGCAAGTAAATGAGTGTGTATAAATAAGATGTAAACCAAACAACAACTTTGTCCTTATACCAACACCCGTGTGTGTTAAAACCACCATCAATACCCTATTTCCATACGTGTCATTTCTCCATTGGTCTGTCAAACCTTTACCATAAAATGGTAAACCACATATTTCCTTCATCCCAATTATTTGGTTCGAAAACCCAACTTTTTAAAAATAGTGGTTTGATTGTGATATTTGAATTTCTCTTTCCAATTTTATCCCCACAAATTTAAAATTTGAATTTGAATGCTAACATGCATATAATTAGAGGGAGGGGTTAGATTAGAAAGAAAAACTAAAAAAATGTTTTGACATTCTCAACAAGACAAATATTTTGGGATATCCCAGAATCAAAAGTAAGACACTTTCAATGAGATAGAGGGAGTATTAGACAAAATCGCTCCTTTTAATCTTATATACTTCACGTCCAAAAAAGTGTGTTTGGGTACGAGTTTATTTGAAATATTATTTAAAATAATTAATTTAATATTTTTTGTGAAGTGCTGTTTGTGAAATAAAATAGTGATTGGAAGGATGATAATACTTTTTGTGGTATGATATATATGAAATAAAAAAGTGATTAGAAAAATAAAAATATGTGTTAAAAATATGTTTGTGATGCAAGCAGTGCAAACAGTGACGGAGCCAGGATTTTTTTTTGGGGGGGGCCAAAATTTTTTCCTAATAAAATTATCTTAATATATTATGTTCAAAATAATTTTCTTCTATTTAAATATCAGACATCTAAAAATATCAAATATTAAATTTAATTATAAAGGTATGTCTATTCATAAATATGCGGTATAGTCATAACAAAAATTAACAAAAAAGATAACTTTTGATTAAATATTTTATAACATCACAAACCATCCAATTTGCACATTATGAGAAGATGCTCTCCAATATGTCACCTATGCAATATATATATATACACTAGGGTTTGCACCCCACGCAAGGCGAGCTTTAGACCTGTTAGTAAGGTTACCTGCCATGCAAAAGCAGTATACATTAATACTATTAGTGAGCAGCCAAGTATTGATAGAAAAGATGCTTGGTTAGCATGCAAAAGGCATAAATTTTCTCCTGAATAATATCCTTTGACTAACATTTTGTACTGAAAAATAACTACAGTAGCGCGATGCGAAGGCACATTAAAAGGCATAAATCAATATATCATGATACATAGGATCATAGAAACCTAAATAGCAAAGGATAGCAATAAAGAACAATAAGGCTCTGTCTTCTTTAAAAATTGTAAATGAACATAACTAAGGGCTTTTGCAAATTTTGACAACATCTTGACATCATCTCTCTTCTAATATACCACAGTGCAGATTATCCAAATGTGAATGTTGAAGATCTTGCAATTCTTCAAAACTGAAAATGCTACCAAAATCCTACAAGACAGCTCTTGAGAGAGGGGGAAGAGGAGAAACAAAGTACACCTGATATTTGAAGTTAACCAGAAGTTGTAGCGTCAAAGCCCAAAGTGCCCTCAGAAATGTTCATGCGATGCCTATTGAAGCAAACCATTATAACAGCAGGGTAATTAAAGTAAAGTCCATGTCCATGCGCAAAACCAGAGAAACAAATATAACAAAGATAGTTACAAAATAATTGAAGAGTGAGATATGTTAAAAGTTTCTATCACTGCAGTTAGGGTCTGTCTAGTGAATAATCCCCTTTCAAAGAACGAAGTTATGGAACTTAAAAGTGCTTATCTATGCCAGAAATTAATCAGTGCCAGCATCAACTTCCTAAAACCAAAATTGAAACAAAAACGAAATTATATCAAACAAATGATGATTGACTGCAGATTCTACTTATTGGTCCCCAAAACGTGTGAAAAATTAATACCAAGGCAGTAAGAGCTGAGAAAGTACTCTTTAACTGGTCTTTGGTCCTAACCACGATAGTCACTAACATGACAATGCAGTAAACGTCAAAATTAATGTTTCATAGAATATAATTGCGGCATAAAATTTTTGGGTCCCTCTTGGCTTAATGAAATTGATGTTTCTAAGTCTATCAACGTATTGTTTCCAATGGAATTGATCTAAAAAAAATCGAGTAATTAAAAGATATAGAGAAGATACACACAGGCAAAATGGAGGGAGGCACCATGGCTACAAATTCCCAGTTACATATGCGAATGAATTCCATCTCATCCCAGAAGCCATCTGGGTTGCCCAGCGAAGATAAGGGTTTGAATTTATGAGCTTGATATATATTAAACAGAGAAAGGCCAAAATTTTGTTTAAATAGAAAAAGACAAGAAACCGCACCTAGAAAAAAAAAAGTGAGGCATGAGTGGTAGTGTAGAAGGGAGCAGCCACTTGAGCTTCACCGGCAACTTTTACTTGAAAATTGAGAGTACTGCAAATCCTTCCATCAGTAATTGAATATAAAATAGAGTTCCTTGTATCAACACAAAAATGGAAAAGTAAAGTAGCCAAATTTGATTTAAAAAGCTAAAAATTAACATCAACATTGGAACTGATACTTACGAAAAAAAAGTCACCATTGAAGCGCACAACAATTTTCCTGCAAAATTGAAGTTTTCACGATCTTAAATAGCGCTTAAACGGAAAAGAAAAAGATGAACAAAGAGGCCGAGGGAAGATGAAAAGATGAACCATGAGTTCGGGACACTGAATGAGGAAAAGATTTTATCACATTTTGTAGAAGCACAATTGTAAGGCCTGAGAAAATCAGATTATCTGGAAAAACTTGTATAATTCATGGAACAACTACATCACAATGAGGGAGAAAGTACAACTTCACCTGCATAATAAAATCTACATGATGATTCCAATTTGAATAAGTTATGCAAAACTACAAGTGCCGCTCTATAATTAACAAAATACATCATCTTTGTATAGGGAAGTCCCCAATTTCTTTTCCTTTGTCATTTATTTGCTTTAGTAATTTTACTAATTATTTCTTTTGTTCTTGTGGGCAGGGAACAAAGAGAACTTGATTTGACAGCAGAAAGAATGTGACAAATTTGATTTTAAAAAAATACCATCTAGATCATAAAAGGGGATATGAGTACAACTTCACCTATGGAATCAAATATTTACAAGAATTCAATTTGAGTAAGTTAAATAAAACTAAACTGCCACTTAGTACACCATTAAATACAACAGCTTTCTAGAATGAAGCCCCCAACTTTTTTTACTTCATTTTATTTATGTATTTCCATCTTTGTTATATTCTTTTTGGGAATTGTTATTAATAGCAAAACTTTTTAGTAAAAAATTACAGCAGCCACTCTTGGTGTTCAAGCTCTCTACATCGAAAATCAGTCCAACGAACTCAATCTCACAGCAAACACCCCTCCCCCCACCCCCAAAAAAAAGAAAAAAGAAAAACCAAAACTTTAAAAAATAAAATACCAAAATGAACAACTTTAACTCCCCTAATATCTATATTCAAGGATTCCGAGTCAACAATATCTTTACTTCTGTTAAAATCAAAAATAAAAAAAATTTATTAAGAAACTATTTGTACATGTCATCCATTTTCATTCAATGGTAAGTGTACAATTAGAAGCAACTATAAGCAAGAAGTCGATGTGCATATGTATATGCTTGTGGAGATTATACAATGAGAAATATAAATTTATTTCCAATAATTAAAGACTGAGAAAATAAATCAAAATATCATACCAAGAAAATGCGCGAGGCCTTCAAGACCTTCTGGATCACTAAAAGAACTTACTCCAACATTCATCGATGCTGCGCACTGAAACTCCAACAAAATACGCATTAATGACAAGGAAAAATGACCAAAAAAGCAGTAGAATTTTAATAAAAATAATTTTCGCATGAAAATTAAATTCTAAATCAACAAAAGAAATTAAGCAGGGTGAAAAAGAAGAAACTGGATGCATTGAAATTTAGTACCTTATCATGCGAGCTACTTTAGATATTGGAAGCCTACATGCTTTCTTTTTTAGTAGTGCTTTCTTAGCTGTTCCATTTTGCATCTATGTACTCATGATGATGATTGAATTTCTGTAACTTGAGATCTTGAATGTTGAATCTTTTATTTAGCTTAAAAAAAAAAGAAATCCAAATGGCAAATAAAGCATCAGACCTTGGTCTCCTCGTCTAATGGAATATAGGCCATTTCCTTGCATGGATCAAACAAGCTGTATTTGTCACTTTTACTGAAAATGTTTTGCATCGCACCCACATAAACTGCTGCAAGAAGTGGAGTCAGCCCAAACTTGGCAAGAGAAGGCCCAAGAGGGTCACCAAACAATATCAAGGAAAAGAAGCCAACTCCTGTCAGGAGCAAAACAGTTGGTGTAATTGTGGCTGCCACCCCCCAGCCATATTTGTCAAAAATCCAGTGACTCAGAAGCATCATCGTGAAAGTTGCTATGCCGGTAGCAGTTGAAAAGTCACCCATGAAGGATGAGTAATCATTTGGGCTAGGAAACTGCATAGTACTAAAAGAATAAGTCTACAAGCAGATAGGAGGACAGAATACCATAGATTAGAAAGCCACATTTAGTTATACCTGAGCTTTGAGCTTGGATTTCCATGTAACCTCTACGAGGTTAATGCTAATGCCATATGCAACAACCAAAGTGGCAAGATCCCTAATATATTTAGAAGACACCAAAAACTTCAAACTCTCCATTGTCCCCATCTTTGGTTTCTCCTACCAAAATCAACATCATAGTTAATAATTGCACCAAGAAGGACATTATCAAGCAGCAAAAGCTAGCTGTGTATCAGTTATATATAAAGAAAAAATAGCATCCTTGTAGATTACCTTCTTCTTCTTGCTACGAGTAGGAAGAGGCACATTGCGATTCACCCACCAATAGAAGAAACAGATGGCAGCCCCCATCAGCACAACAATGGTCATCATTCCTTTGAAGGAGATGGCCCAACCATCAACTCCAGGACCTAAATTCTTTCTCAAATTAGAGAACTATTTCACCGTCCGCCCAGAGAAAACAAGGGCAATATTGGCTCCCAGTCCAAACAAAGGATAGAATCTTTTAGCCTCTTCAATGGTAGTTATCTGCAACAACAAAGCATCCAGCAAAGTTAATTGCAGAAAAATAACAAAGAACTCACGCAAATTCAATTGCATCTATTTATTTACCAGTATCACCAGTAACTTAAATTTTACCAAGTGATGATAAAACAAAAATCATCAAAGCTAGGTAGAAACTGATAGATAAACATGAGAACTGGCCTGTTAGTTCACCACCACGACAATAACATAATACAATGAATAAAGAAAACATTAATTCATATTTCCAACCACGGGGCAAAGGGAGGGGAGGACCGTACCAATAATGTCAATACAATACATGTAGAACCAATTTTTCCTTTTTTCCCTGGACTTACAGCTCTAAGTTGAGCAGGAAATAGAAAATTTTATATATGAGCCAAAGTATGACAGCTTTTGTGCTTGTCTACGAGGAACTATATCCCAAATTAGCCCAACTCAACCAACCTCACCAATCCAAGAAATAAAAGAGAGGCAGCAAAGCACACTGTAGAAATTTTTAGAGAGAAGAGAGGGACAACTTTTTGGCTTTGTATGTAAACCATATTGCAAAAAGTCACTGTTATCCACATCAGGATATTAACCCTGCTGGATAGTCAAAATCATCTATTGGAATAACAATATAATCCCATAAATAAATAAAGGCCTATGCAAACCAAGTATAACTTCCTATATAGACAGGAAAACAAGAATTTAAACGCAGATTTGAAAATGTTGAACACAACCTAATAATAGATGAGAAAAAAAACAGTTATGAAGAATCTAGCATGTGCAACATCAACTTTAGTAGTTTGATTTCCGTAAAGATAATAAACTGAAGTACTGAACTACTGGAATCCCCACGAAACAATAATTAACGGGGAAGATAAATATGCCAGTTTCAGATGCTCAAGAGAATGGAAAACTGAATTGGTAGAATTAAATCAATTCAAACAGTAGTATCATGTGAAAGAATGCATAATTGAAAGTCTCAAATACATAAAAATAAAATACTTGGAAGAAGTTGTAAAAAAGAATTCAACTTACATAATCTCACATGGTGAGATTTTCTATATTACCCTAACATAGTAAAAGAGTGGGAAAAATATAGTGAAAAAAACTAAAAGAAGAAAAAAGAAATCACGTTCGAATCATTAAACTCCAAATTTTTTTTAAAAAAAAGCTGAGACTAATATCTATCAGAAGTAGTCCAGCTTAACTGCTAAATTTTCTAGTGAAGGTGTTTAAGTCCAAACCATCTGTAGCAGAAAATTAGAATTCTAAGCATTAGAAACGAAGAAAATCTGATAAATGGCAAAACTAACAAAATGAATACCCATTTTGCAGATACAACTTTTCATAGTATGACAATAAAGTAAAAATTTCTTTTAGAAACAAGAAACACATATGACCTTGCAAATTGTCTTGTAGAAGTATATTCTCAATAAAACAATGGATATCAAGGTGATATCACTACAACAAAAATGACTTTTCGTGACATGTCTATAAGGGCACTTGCTGGTTTGTGTCATTATAACACATCTATTATGACACTTGTTATCAACTCAATAATATATACTCTAATTTTTTTTATTTTATCTGATATAAAAATAATAATGTGACTTTAGATTACCTATCATGGCACTTGAGAAAATGTGAGATATACTAAAAAAAAAGGAAAGGCACAAAACAACATCATAGTGAATTGGCGGAAGATTCATTTGCTGTGAAATATTCAAAATTTTCAATTTGCCGGCCAAAACACTTAGTCAAATTTTGCTTCTTCTGATCTCTCTCACAAAAAACACTCTCTCCACAAACTAACTCTCGGCAAATTATCTCTCAGCCAAGTAGGGGCGTTAAGACCGGAGTTTTTTGTAGATGGCGCAAGACGATTGCAGATGGGTAAAGGAAACCTGGAAAATAATAGACCACCGAAGTACTAAATGAAACTTTCTTCCACTTTCTTTCCTTTCGCTCTTTCTGGCTCCCATGACCAATTAAAGTAAGGAAGAATCAGCCATGGGATTCATCGTCTCCGCTTTCAGTTCATTCCATTCCTCAAGCTCACCGCCGTCTTTCTCCCCTCAACCGCCACCACCACCGCTGCCGGAATGTTATTTCTCTTTTCCCTAGCTACCCTCCTTCTACAATCACCAGCAGCTGTACCAGTACCAGCACCAGCACTAGCTGTTCTTCCTCTTCTTCTTCTTCCTCCTATTTTGGGATTTCGATTTCTGACAAAACTATGATTTCTGTTGCGTCTGGAAAAGCTAAGTCAAACCGATCGTTGTATATTGTAGCTGAGGTGTTTGAGAAATTTACTGAGAGAGCAATTAAAGTGGCTATGTTTTCCCAGAGGGAGGCAAATGCTTTGGAGGTAGAAATGGTGTATACCCAGCATCTTTTGCTAGGACTTATCGCAGAAGATAGTGCTTCCGGTGGGTTTTTAGGCTCTGGAATCACAATCGAGATGGCTCACCAAGCCGTTAAGAGCATTTGGCATACCAATTCTGATGATAAGGAGGAGAATGGTAAGGGTAATAGGAGTGGTCTTGGTCCTGAGGGGGCAGAGGTCTCGACCATGGATGTGCCATTTTCGCTGAGCACTAAGCGGGTTTTTGAGGCTGCCGTGGAGTATTCGAGGACTATGGGGTATAATTATATTGCGCCGGAACATATTGCTGTTGGGTTGTTCACTGTCAATGATGGAAGTGCTGGCCGTGTACTTTAGAGGTTGTACATTTTGAATTAGCATAATTTTATCTATGAATGCTTTACTCGCTCAGAATTGCAATTTTTTTAGTGCTTTATATTGGTCTTATATGGACTGCTGAAACTATTGTTGCAACTTGTGATCGAAGACAAAACTAGGAAGGGGTGGCAAAACAAGTCAACTGGGAGGTAAAAAGAATCACCCAACTCTGACTGTACATCCTGCCCCTGGGGCTTCCTTTGGCATATCTTCTGCCTGCTCTTCCCCAAGATCACCTGAGAGCTGCAAGCCTGCAACACCGATGGAAATGCCCATGAACCCATGCTCCAGAACAGCTATCACAGCACCCGAATGCATATGCACAGGGTCCAGAGCTCACCTACTGTCTGCAATCTTATAGGTCTTCAGCAATAGAATAGTGCTTCTAGTCTTCAGCTGTATCCTCAGAATTACTACCAAACCATCAGTCTTTTTGGTGCGCAAGAAACTTCAACTTGTTGGAGTGACAGCAATGCTTCTGGCTTGCAAGTATGAAGAAGTTTCTGTTCCTGTCGTTGAAGACCTCATATTGATTTCTGACAGGGCTTACTCCAGAAATGATGTGCTTGAGATGGTAGGTTTGTTATGGCATCTATTGTCTATGAGTTGATCTTTGATATATGAAGCTTTCCTTTGTCATATAACTAAAATTGAACTGTGGCTCGCTGCAGGAGAGCTTAATGATCAACATCTTGCAGTTTAATCTTTCAGTGCCTACTCCTTATGTCTTCATGAGGCGCTTTCTTAAAGCTGCTCAATCTAATAAAAAGGTATTGTTTCGTATTTAGTGTATGTGAATTTTTTGCACTATCTTGATCTGCCTAATAACTGGCAATAATCTTCTGGTGACTAGTTGGAGCTTCTGTCCTTCTTTATCGTTGAGCTGTGCCTCGTCGAGTATGAAATGCTTAGGTTCCCCCGTCTCTCTTAGCAGCAGCAGCTTCTTTATTTCAAATTTTTTGTTTGAGTTACCATGCTCAGTTTATGACATTTTATTCCTTGCCACATTCATTTTTTATACAGAATAGAACCACTCGTATGTAAAGAATATGTAGATAAACGCCCCGTGATTATCCCTTACCACAGGGGCGAAAAGCGGTTGTACGTTAGATTTCAGGTGAGACCCTTTTGAGTTTCCATACTGTGAGTGTTAAACATCTTATTCTCTTTTTCCTACTGATGATATGGTCTGCAAGAGTTTAGAGAAGGCTTGGCTTCACATTCTCAGGCCCTGATGGATCAAATGACTGCTATTAGGGTAATTTTGATCATCCCTAGCTCCTGCTTACTTCCTTTTTCTCTTTTAATTTGGTGTGTATGGAGAGAGGGAGCTAATGTGCACGAGAATTCCAATTCTATTCTCTAGAATTATAACAGCAGAAGCTAAGCTTTTGTGCCCTTAACATAACGGAAAAGGGAAATGTGAGACGATTACTGATCACTTGTTGTTGGCAATGATTACATGACTATGGATAGAGGCTTGGACCACTTGCACTATTGGCAATGATTACATGGCTACTGAATAGGGTAGATTGCAAGTACCTTGTATTCTGCTTGAATGAGGAAATAAATAGTCAACCCTTCCATTCTGAAATACATGGTGCAGTTTTCTGTCGGTGCATTGCTTTCAAGATATGGACCTGTTAGTTTCATCCACAGGTTGTTGTCTTGCCCTTTCCTATTCAAAACTCTGATTACTTCTCTTTGTTTAATGTTCCTGTCAAATGCTTCGCTTGGGGTCATACCTGGTTGTGATGCAAATTTCGATAGGCATTTATACTACTCTGATCAGAGATGTTTTCATCTTTAATTTTTGTATTTATTTATTTTTTTTGTTTTATTATGTAAATTGGATTAACTGATTGTGAGCAGAGAATGTCTGGTGCTTTAATGGTCCCACAATTAGGATTTAGAATTGGACCTAGAGATGGTACAGGACAAGTGTATTATGCGAAGCAGTTAGTAGGTAGCAAGCGTGTTCATTTTGGTTTTGGCTCCCGAGCAAGAATTTGCTTGAATAATGTGTGTTATGGAAGTTAATAACTGAGTGTAGTGGTCTAGATGTTGAAAATGAAGAAATGTCAGACATGCAACTCCTTGGCATATATTGTTGATTGGACGTGTTTATTTGATTACCATACAGAAACAGATTAATGTCTTAACAACTTGGCTGAATCTTTTCTTTTTGAACAGGTTAAAGTGCTTACCATCTGCGAATCGAGAAACAAGGATAAACTGGATGGTAATCCTAAGATGATTTTGCTTCTTTTGTTTTTTTTTATTTCAAATTTTTTGTTTGAGTTACCATGTTTGGTCCCTTCAAATTTACTGTGCAATGCTCTGTCAATGGGTTCAAGAAGTGGACTAAGACATGCGAGAGGCACACAAACTACACTGAAGATCAGCTTTTGTAAGTGGTTCCTTATGCTTTTCACACATTAATGAATTTTATTGCTAGCTATGATGATCTAATGATCCCAACAAACTTTGTGCACAGGTGGAACCAGCTGAAGATTGATGGGGTGTTCGTGGCTATGATTGAAGGGTCTAATTTCATTGGAAAGTTTGGCAGCTACTGCAAGTTCTTTCTACTTGTTAGGGAAGAGAATCTTTTAGTTTGTGCACATGAGGATCTTTTAGTTTGTCCACAAGAGAATCTTTCAAGTTTGTACTTGTTAGGAATTTGCTATGTTAGTACTTGTTACTGACTTTTAGTTCAATAAATTATATTTGAGCATTGATTTTTGCTTTTAGATTACTATATGCATTCTGTTCTTTGGGATAATTTTACAAGTCCTTTGGGTTTCTGATTGACGGAATGTATAGCAGGGAGCACTACCTGCAGGTTGCTTCTATATCAAAAAAAAGAAAAAAAATCCTGACAATTAAAAGTGTCAGTATAGAATTCGATATTGTAATGTTGTACTATAGCTATCCTGACACTTTCGATTATCAAGAAAAGGAATTTTCGTTGGCAGATGAGATGTTATAACAACACAGTTTTCCTGACACATTTGAACATTACATACCTATCCCTACATTGGAAGGGACGACACTCGTCCTAGGTGTGAGGAAAAGTAAAGTATCAGGTTAAATTATCTATATTGACACCTTTAAATGCCGTTAAAGGGCATTTTTGTTGTAGTGTATGTGTACCTTCTCAGAAGTAGATGTAAAGGCTTCGAGCAAGCTACTTCTTTCTCCCAAACTCATTGGCTTCTGTTTATGTACTCTTCAATATCCTGTTCTTTTGCTCCCTGCTCATCCAAAATACCAATAAGGAAAAATTTATACGTTTTTTTTGTTTACCAAAATTAAGAACATGATCACAAAACCAAGCCCTTTTTGCAATAAAGAAAAACGAAAAAAAAAATTAAATTCCTTTTTCTACAAGAGGAGAACCCATTGAAATGAATATGTTAAGATCTAAATTAAATTTTAATACTGAATTGGGTATATCAAATAGGGTCGTATTTTTTTGATTGCCTAGAGTATCCAATATGCAATTTTGTAAGTTCAAAATATTAAGTTTTAATTATTTATGCTTCATAGAATTTTTATAAGTACATCTAATTAATGGAGTACTAACAAAATTACTACCTAGGATATATAAGCAATAATTATTCAAAATACCTAGGATATATCAAGATATCAGGACGGAGGAAAATCAAACAGAATTATTCAAAAAAAAAACTGAAAACAAACTAGAAAGTGCAAGCATATTTTCCTTCCACCCAGGTGGGTGGACAAGGAGATTCAAGTAATATGGCTGCAAGAAAAAGTTATTTCTCATGTGAGATGGAGCTAGATAGAGAAAAATCAAGTAGTAAAAAATTGTCACCCATGATATACTGATGCTATATACCATGTAGTGATCTCAAGATGGACATGGTATAAAGCTATTAAAAGATAAAATTGCACTACATGTCAACTATGAATAATGTAAAGCACAAGGATCAGTAAACTGATTTTTCTAGTTAATTGAGAATGAAAACTATTTGCTTCAGAAAGTTTCTGTCATGATTAATCACTCAAAATGTCCCAATGTTCCATTCACAGAGAACAGAAGTTTGCATAGCTAAAAGCACCTACCAGGATTGTCTTCAGGAAACCTGTATTCTTCTCCATGCAGCCGAGTGCTCTCATTCATTTTAACTGTATAGAAAATCAAGACAATTAAATCAGGGACCAATGTAGCGTGATCCATAGTTTATTACATAACTATGACTTGCATTGGTTTCACACAGTCATAAGTCAACTCAAACTGTTTGAATAGAAGAGCTATTGAAACTTTGTTTAAGCCCAATTTTCAGGTCTGTGTTGATTTGATTTGTACAAGTCATAATCATGTAGCATTAAATCACACTCAACTACCAGAGAATCTATAAAGCCCAAACCAAGTAAATAACAAATAAATTATAACCACGATGCTAGAATCACAATATAACCTGTTTGTGCATTTGGCAGTAGTATAACAGCAGAATCTGGACTTGCTTTTACACTTGTTGCCTGTAGGTGGCGTGTAGAAAGCAGCGCTAGAGAACTGTCAATGAGAGGTTCCTGAGGCAAATGAAGTGGGCTTGCAGCAAGATGCAAAAGTGCTTGTGCCTAAAAATGCATAATTAGGACAAGTTAGAAGCATAAGAATCACATTAACAAAAAAAATCATAAACTTTCAGTGAAAAGAAATCTGAAAACCTTGTCAGCTGGGATATCATCATACACATTCAATCTACCACAATAGAAGATTGTCATCTGTCCTACTGGAGTGTTTGAGGAACCTGTATTCCTGGGGATGTGGAGGTGAAATGTCTTAGGTGATATGCAACAAGGATTAAAGATCGTTGTTCAATTCAACTAAAGTTCATTTAGCCCATTGTGGATTCACATCACACAAGCTCAAGTAAAAAAATTCCAAAAAAGAACAGATTGGTGTGAAGCTCTAGTAAAACATCTAGCTTGACATAGTCGTTGAATTTATAGGTAACACAAGCTGTAAAAAGGCCAAAATTAGACAGGCAAGAAACACATGAAACTATGACAAACTACATGGTGTGGCCCTTGTGTGGGTTTTTTCCCTTGCGCCCGCGGGCGAGGGGGGGAGCTGCTTAGCACATTTATTTTTATTGCCCTTCTAATGAAGCAGTATTTTCTACTCCTCAATCTGACAGTAGGAACTACTCCTGGATTTAAGCAGCAAAATAACTTTAAGTTGAAGCAGGACGATGGGATGAGAATTAATGTCTACTCACAAACATCATCAATTTTAAAGGAAAACAGAAAGAAAACTAAATCCAGTTTCATAACAAGGGTTTACATCTTTGCAAGTTTCTGTCTGTTCAAAGACTTGATCTTTCCATTAGGCCTCAGATACAACACCTCATGTTTATTTTAATTTTCTTACAAAAAAAAAAAGAAAAGAAAAGAATGAATGAAAGTTTGCAATTAACCAGCTTAAGCCATCCTACCATTGAATAGACCAAGAATGCACAGGAAAACCTTAGCTATACACAATCTGACTGTCAAAGCATCCGTGAAACTCAGATAGTACAGCAATCCAACCTACATATATGAAACCTTCCCAAGCCCCACAGGACGACAAAGAGATTCAAGAAGATGAAAAAAGAAAATTAAGCAAAAATGAAAAATTAAGCATTTGTTTCAACAAAAAAAAACCACCCATGGAAAAGCCATTTTCCGGAAGCAACAACCATTTCAAAACTAAAATACAACATCTTTCTGAACCTACTATTACATATTGCATAACCGAGAACATCATCTTAAAAAAATTTTAAAAAAAATTTTGCCCAAAGATTTAAGTGCTGTACTAAAAAGCTACCGACAACCAAAAATTACAAGCCACCAAATAGAACGGACAACACTCACTACTTACCTATATACAAATTGAAATCAAACAAGTAAACATACATCATAAAACGAAGTAAAATTCATCCAAGCCAAGAATACAAACCCAAATTCAAATTTGGAAACAATTAATTTTGCAGTAAATTCAAATCGTAAGGTTCTTTATCTCTTACCTTGCCGATGAGGATTTCATTCATGTGAGGTCCATAAACGTAGTGACTCCAGAATCAACAGCGTAACGGATGAGTTCGATCACCCCTAACACATCTTTGGTGTCCCTAAGAATTGTATAGTTGAAGAGGATATAGAAAAACATCATGCCAAGAGGTAAAATCTTCTTAAGGGTATTAAGCTCTATACCCAAAAATTTGGGTGGCTCAGGCTGGCGAAAAACTGGCTGGCCGTCGGCTCCTGTTGCAGCAGTAGCAGCCTCAGCCCCGCAAACATGGAATGTTCTATTTTTTGGGATAATTAAATTAGGCATTGTGGCAAAGCCCTGAAATTTTTGGAACCCATTAAGATTTACAGAGAGACCTGAAAATGGTTTGTTTTTCAAGGGATTGAAAGGGCTAAACCTATGCCTGAAACCCTGCTGTGGTGGATTGAGCAAAGCCCTGGTTTTGGGGTTTGAAGGTAAAGAAAGAAGCCCTTTTGTCTGAAAAACAGCTTGCATTTTTTCTTTTTCAGCCTCTCTTCTTGCTCGTTCCTGGCTCCAAACGCCATTTTTCTTCTCAACCAGAATCAGAGAGAGAGAGAGAGAGAGAGAGAGAGAGAGAGAGAGAGAAGTAGTTGAGAAGAACAATGAGCTGGAACGCGAGCAAAACCAACAGAACAGGAGAAGAGAAAGCTCAATTTTCTAATGTCTGACAGCAAAAGTAAAAAGCTATTGTAAAATGACTATGTTAGACATGAGTTAAAAATATATAGTCCATCCAATGAGTATTTTCAAGGAGCAAAATGTAATTAAACAACACAAAATGAGCTGGCTCCAAAAATAAACATCACGTCTCATTAATGGTTCTTGTTAATGCTGCAAATATTTCCACTAACATTCGGCCAAGGTTTGCAATAAGCAGATGAAGTGAGCAGATGAAAAGTTAGAAGGACAAAAATGCCCCTGAAGTGAGCAGATGAAATTGCAATGAACAGGAACCTCCAAACGTCATTTTATAAGATATAAAGATTTTGAGGGATGAAAATGTAATTAAACAAGAAAAAATTAGCTGGTTGGTAGAAATCAACATCACATCTCATTAATGCTTCTTGTAAATGGTGTAAAACAGCCAATGTTCCACTGACATCGGCTAAGCCTTGCATAAGCAACAAGCCTTCCACCATAGAAGCAACAGCCTGTTGTACGAGCTCCAATAAAAATAGCAGCTGAAACGTCTTTCTACAAGAACCCAAAACGGGAATGAAAAAGCAATGAACAGAACAAGAACCCAAAACGTCTTTCTACAACATTCGGCTGAGGCTTGCAGCAGATGAAAAGCTAGAAGGACAAAAATGCCCCTGAAGTGAGCAGATGAAATTTTAAGGACAAAAATGCCCAATGAACAGGAACCCAAAACGCCTTCTTATATATCCTCGAATATAATTAAACAAGAAAAAATTAACTGGCTGGTAGAAATCAACATCACATCTCATTAATGCTTCTTGTAAATGGTGTAAAACAGCCAATGTTCCACTGACATCGGCTAAGCCTTGCATAAGCAACAAGCCTTCCACCACAGAAGCAACAACCTGTTGTACGAGCTCCAATAAAAATAGCAGCTGAAACGTCTTTCTACAAGAATCCAAAGCGGGAATGAAAAAGCAATGAACAGAACAAGAACCCAAAACGTCTTTCTACAACATTCGGCTAAGGCTTGCAGCAGATGAAAAGCTAGAAGGACAAAAATGCCCCTGAAGTGAGCAGATGAAATTTTAAGGACAAAAATGCCCAATGAACAGGAACCCAAAAGGCCTTCTTATATATTATAAAGATATATATATATAACCATGTAATATAAATGTAACTATTTTCAATTGAAAAAAGATAAAAGTTATGTTAACATAATTTGAAATTTCAATATCTTTTCTTAGAAGTAAATTGAGCTCTACGCTCTTTCATAGAACTAAATTCATTTATGATTGAATCGTTGCTAAATTTTTCAGCAACTTATTTTTCTATATACACAGTTAGACAATCATTTGAAAGTTAAATGTCCGCAAACATGGAATGTTATATTTTTTGGGATAATTAAATTAGGCTTTATGGCAAAGCCCTGAAATTTTTGGAACCCATTAAGATTTACAGAGAGACCTGAAAATGGTTTGTTTTTCAAGGGATTGAAAGGGCTAAACCTATGCATGAAACCCTGCTGTGGTGGATTGAGCAAAGCCCTGATTTTGGGGTTTGAAGGTAAAGAAAGAAGCCCTTTTGTCTGAAAAACAGCTTGCATTTTTTCTTTTTCAGCCTCTCTTCTTGCTCTCTTCTTGCTCGTTCCTGGCTCCAAACGCCATTTTTCTTCTCGGCAAGAATCAGAGAGAGAGAGAGAAGTAGCTGAGAAGAACAATGAGCTGGAACGCAAGCAAAACCAACAGAACAGGAGAAGAGAAAGCTCAATTTTATAATGTCTGACAGAAAAAGTAAAAAGCTATTGTAAAATGACTATGTTAGACATAAGCTGAAAATATATAGTCCATTCAATGAGTATTTTGAAGGAGCAAAATGTAATTAAACAACACAAAATGAGCTGGCTCCAAAAATAAACATCACGTCTCATTAATGATTCTTGTTAATGCTGCAAATATTTCCACTAACATTCGGCCAAGGCTTGCAATAAGCAGATGAAGTGAGCAGATGAAAAGTTAGAAGGAAAAAAATGCCCCTGAAGTGAGCAGATGAAATTGCAATGAACAGGAACCTCCAAACGTCTATTTATAAGATATAAAGATTTTGAGGGATGAAAATGTAATTAAACAAGAAAAAATTAGCTGGCTAGTAGAAATCAACATCACATCTCATTAATGCTTCTTGTAAATGGTGTAAAACAGCCAATGTTCCACTGACATCGGCTAAGCCTTGCATAAGCAACAAGCATTCCACCATAAAAACAACAGCTTGTTGTACGAGCTCCAATAAAAATAGCAGCTGAAACGTCTTTCTACAAAAACCCAAAACGGGAATGAAAAAGCAATGAACAGAATAAGAACCCAAAACGTCTTTCTACCACATTCGGCTAAGGCTTGCAGCGGATGAAAAGTTAGAAGGACAAAAATGCCCCTGAATTGAGCAGATGAAATTTTAAGGACAAAAATGCCCCTGAATTGAGCAGATGAAATTTTAAGGACAAAAATGTCCAATGAACAGGAACCCAAAACGCCTTCTTATACATCCTCAAATGCAATTAAACAAGAAAAAATAAGCTGGCTAGTAGAAATCAACATCACATCTCATTAATGCTTCTTGTAAATGGTGTAAAACAGCCAATGTTCCACTGACTCGGCTAAGCCTTGCATAAGCAACAAGCCTTTCACCATAGAAGCAACACCCTGTTGTACGAGCTCCAATAAAAATAGCATCTGAAACGTCTTTCTACAAGAACTCAAAACGGGAATGAAAAAGCAATGAACAGAACAAGAACCCAAAACGTCTTTCTACAACATTCGGCTAAGGCTTGCAGCAGATGAAAAGCTAGAAGGACAAAAATGCCCCTGAATTGAGCAGATGAAATTTTAAGGACAAAAATGCCCAAAGAACAGGAACCCAAAACGCCTTCTTATATATCCTCTAATGTAATTAAACAAGAAAAAATTAGCTGGCTGGTAGAAATCAACATCACATCTCATTAATGCTTCTTGTAAATGGTGTAAAACAGCCAATGTTCTACGGACATCGGCTAAGCATTGCATAAGCAACAAGCCTTTTACCATAGAAGTTATAGCCTGTTGTACGAGCCCCAATAAAAATAGCAGCTGAAACGTCTTTCTACAAGAACCCAAAACAGGAATGAAAAAGCAATGAACAGAACAAGAACCCAAAACATCTTTCTACAACATTCGGCTGAGGCTTGCAGCAGATGAAAAGCTAGAAGGACAAAAATGCCCCTGAAGTGAGCAGATGAAATTTTAAGGACAAAAATGCCCAATGAACAGGAACCCAAAACGCCTTCTTATATATCCTCGAATGTAATTAAACAAGAAAAAATTAGCTGGTTGGTAGAAATCAACATCACATCTCATTAATGCTTCTTGTAAATGGTGTAAAACAGCCAATGTTCCACTGACATCGGCTAAGCCTTGCATAAGCAACAAGCCTTCCACCATAGAAGCAACATCCTGTTGTACGAGCTCCAATAAAAATAGCAGCTGAAACGTCTTTCTACAAGAATCCAAAACGGGAATGAAAAAGCAATGAACATAACAAGAACCCAAAATGTCTTTCTACAACATTCGGCTAAGGCTTGCAACAGATGAAAAGCTAGAAGGACAAAAATGCACCTGAAGTGAGCAGATGAAATTTTAAAGAAAAATACCCAATTAACAGGAACCCAAAACGCCTTCTTATATATTATAAAGATATATATATATAAAACCATGTAATATAAATGTAACTGTTTTCAATTGAAAAAAGATAAAAGTTATGTTAACATAATTTGAAATTTCAATATCTTTTCTTTGAAGTAAATTGAGCTCTACGCTCTTTCATAGAACTAAATTCATTTATGATTGAATCATTGCTAAATTTTTCAGCAACTTATTTTTCTATATACGCAGTTAGACAATCATTTGAAAGTTAAATGCCCGTAAACATGGAATGTTCTATTTTTTGGGATAATTAAATTAGGCTTTGTGGCAAAGCCCTGAAATTTTTGGAACCCATTAAGATTTACAGAGAGACCTGAAAATGGTTTGTTTTTCAAGGGATTGAAAGGGCTAAACCTATGCCTGAAACCCTGCTGTGGTGGATTGAGCAAAGCCCTGGTTTTGGGGTTTGAAGGTAAAGAAAGAAGCCCTTTTGTCTGAAAAACAGCTTGCATTTTTTCTTTTTCAGCCTCTCTTCTTGCTCGTTCCTGGCTCCAAACGCCATTTTTCTTCTCGGCAAGAATCAGAGAGAGAGAAGTAGCTGAGAAGAACAATGAGCTGGAACGCGAGCGAAACCAACAGAACAGGAGAAGAGAAAGCTCAATTTTATAATATCTGACAGCAAAAGTAAAAAGCTATTGTAAAATGACTATGTTAGACATAAGTTGAAAATATATAGTCCATTCAATGAGTATTTTGAACGATTAAAATGTAATTAAACAACACAAAATGAGCTGGCTCCAAAAATAAACATCATGTCTCATTAATGATTCTTGTTAATGCTGCAAATATTTCCACTAACATTCGGCCAAGGCTTGCAATAAGCAGATGAAGTGAGCAGATGAAAAGTTAGAAGGACAAAAATGCTCCTGAAGTGAGCAGATGAAATTGCAATGAACAGGAACCTCCAAACGTCATTTTATAAGATATAAAGATTTTGAGGGATGAAAATGTAATTAAACAAGAAAAAATTAGCTGGCTGGTAGAAATCAACATCACATCTCATTAATGCTTCTTGTAAATGGTGTAAAACAGCCAATGTTCCACTGACATCGGCTAAGCCTTGCATAAGCAACAAGCCTTCCACCATAAAAGCAACAGCCTATTGTACGAGCTCCAATAAAAATAGAAGCTGAAACGTCTTTCTACAAGAACCCAAAGCGGGAATGAAAAAGCAATGAACAGAACAACAACCCAAAACGTCTTTCTACAACAATCGGCTAAGGCTTGCAGCAGATGAAAAGCTAGAAGGACAAAAATGCC